ACATTGTCGAGCTTTAAATCACGATAAATTATCCCACGAGAATGCAGAAAGTGTAAAGCAATTATGATTTCCGCCGAATAAAATCTGCAGTTTCAGCACAAATTTAAAATGGAATCTAAAATGAGAAATTCGAAGTTATATAAAAACTACAGGCTTAAGAATACGACCAAGCCGGGTAATGATAGCATAATTATAGGGCTAAGATTTACCACAAATAAACAGAAAATGTGTCAAAACTATAATCTGTATAAACATGAATTAAAGAAATCCGATAAGCATGACGCAGTGGCAAGTAGCATTGTTCCTGTGCCGAGGGTTTGATTCCATTCGGGAATCATTTATTCGTTTCGATAGTAAAGTAACATGGTGCACGCTTAGAACTCGCAAACAGCCTGCTTTTACAAACCATCGAGAGAAGCAGCCATCGGTAGTAGATGGATTTTGACACTTGCAACTCCGAGTGCCGCCGCCTATCCTAGAGGGTTAATATGCAGAAGATTCTAAATTTGACTTATGCTCGCAACACTAAAATGCTTTGAAGCTTGCTATATTACAATAAAATAAAATTTAGAAGATAGCACCGACTACTAATAACGCACTGCTTAAAAAGGATATACCTGGCGTGGTCTTCGGGCAATTTACGCTGCCGCTGCATATGAAACATTAGATCACCGCCAGGCACAAATTCGATGACAAAAAATAAACGTGAATCAGTCTGCAAGCAGACAAAAATATCTAAAGAACTGGTCTGAAAAATGCTTGAAAATACATGTAAATAAAATATAGCAGCGCGCACCAGACTAGCCGGTGCGATCATGCGTTTTGTGCAATTCAGCCCATCGAACGATCGCCTATTAATAATTTTCACTGCTTTGTACTTTTGTCTATGCAAAAATAGTTCAAACATTGGAAAACAGCTAAAAATTTCACGCACCAGCGCATGCAAGCTGAATTCGAAATCTTAAATGTTGAATACCTTTCCGTGATTCCCGAGTTAATAGTCTACCCGCCGAAATTCCCACGAAGCCGTAGGTGATACTCAAGACCGAGGGAATGCTGAATTTGGATAAGCAAGGTTGAGCGTGGGTAGGGGGTTATTACCCTAAAATTTCAGCTTCCTGGACCCCGTGGTTCCCGAAATAATAATTTGCCCGTAAAAAAAATTCACGTGGCCGTACGTGTTATCCGCGGGTGCGGGAAGGCTGAATTTAAATGGGCAAGATTGAGCGTCGGCAGGGGTTCATTACCCTAAAATTTCAGCCTCCTAGACTCCGTGGTTCCTGACATATAAATTTACCCATAAAAAACTTTCACGGGGCCGTACGTGTTACCCGCGGGCACGGGAAGGCTGAATTTAAATTTGCCGCGTCACCGCTGGTGGGGAACACTATACCAAAATTCTAAAAGTTT